GTCCAGCTCCAGGTTGAGCTGTTGTTCAGCATCTTAGCTGTAGAGGGCAGTGTCACTGGCCCTCATATGTGGGACCCGAACCGGGACCCTGTGGCGTCCAAAGCCAGCTCTTAACCAACGCGCCACTCAGCTGGCCTGTATTTTTTTTTTTAATTGGGAAATCGGGGAAGGGGAACAGACAAGTTGCTGTCCTTTTGTTCTTCAGTCTAATTGTGGAGGACGTCACGTCACTGGCCCATGTTGGTATTATCATTGCGCTCTTCCCAGGTGAGGCAGATCGGTCGCCGGCCACTGGACGGCCGCTCACAGTTCTTGGCAGCTCACACCGGCTGCCAGCCACTCACGGTAGCTTACGGGAGCCCACTGCAGCCTATGCCTTCAACAGCAACTCACAGCAGCCCAGCTCCAGGTTGAGCTGTTGTTCACCATCTTAGCTGTAGAGGGCGCAGTGTCACTGGTCTCATGTGTGATCCGAACCAGGGCCCTGCTGCTCAGAGCTGGCGCCCCAACCCAATTCTTAACCAATGCACCACTCAGCCAGCCCATAAACATGTTTTAAGCAGTTCAGGTTGTGGTAAATGGTTTTCATGTCAGGAATGTGATGCCCTTTGGGAGAACAGGGGCATGATAGGGGAAGATAGGGGCTTCCTAGGTCTGACTATGTTCTTCCCCAACCCAGGTGGACAGGCAGGGCTTGCTTCTTATTCTCTGAACTGCATGTGTATTGTGCTCTCTTATTTAGGGAGAAAGGCTGGGCCTGGCCAGGGGCCAATGGGCCTTGAGTCCCAGGCATGCTGGACCTTGGGCTGGGGGCGGGGAGGAGGGCCCAAAAGGGGGACTGGCAGCCTCAGAAGACCTAGGAAAATATAATCCTGCCTTGTGTTATAGGATATGTACAGTATTATAGTTGTTACATTGTATTATATATACACACTATATTACATATAATACTGTGTTCTGCATTTGAGAGTTGCTGAGTAGAGCTTAAAAGTTCTTACCAGAAGAAAAAACGTGTTGTTTTTTAAAGATTTTATTGGAGAATTGGGGGAGGGGAACAGACAAGTCGCTGTCCTTTTGATCTTCAGTCTAGTTGTGGAGGACGTTGCTTCACTGGCTCATATTGGTATTATCATTGCGCTCTTCCCAGGTGAGGCAGATCGGTCGCTGGCCTCTGGACAGCCACTCATGGTGGCTCTTGGCAGCTCACACCGGCTGCTGGCCGTTCATGCTGGCTGCCGGCCACACACGGTAGCTTATGGCAACCCACTGCAGCAGGGGCTACAGCCTACGCCAACAGCGACTCATGGAAGCCCAGCTCCAGGTAGAGCTGTTGTTCACCATCTTAGCTGTAGAGGGCAGTATCACTGGCCCCCATGTGGGATCCAAACCAGGGCCCTGCTGCTCAGAGCTGGCGTCCCAAGCCAGCTCTTAAGCAACGCGCCATTTGGCAGGCCCCAAGAAAAAACTTTTTGTGACTGTGGTGATGGATGTTAACTGGATTTCTTGTGATCATTTCTCAGTGTACACGGTGTCAAGCCATTATGTTGCACACCTGAAACTAATATATTTAATTATATCTCAAAGCTAAAAGGTGGCCCGTCCCTGGTCCCTCTGACGGTTCCTCTCCCAGACATGAGGAAGGCGCAGCATGCATGTCCCACACACAATGTCCTTCAGAGGGTAACCCCCAAGCCCCAGTGCTCAGTGGGGAAGTCACGCAGGCAGGGTGACACAGGCCAAAGGCCAAAGGCAGGAAGCTAGCAGATGCAGGAGCCCCAAAAAGGAAAGAGGGGAACACAGGGGCAAGGAGCAGGAAAGCACCAAACAGTGGGTGCTCAGCCTTCCATACAGGCTCCTGGGTGTCCCTGGGGAGGATGGGCCACCTCTGGCTCGCACTCCTGAGGGCATGGTCAGCCCTCCTCCTCCAATGGCCGGGCCAGGGACCTGGTGGCAGACCTCGTGCCCATCCACGAGCAGCCACCAGCTTTGTCACCTGTGCCCCTGCGCGTTGGTGAAGTGCCTATGGGGATGTGAGTGACATAGATGAAAGTGACATAGATTGTGTGGGGGCTGGTGTAGGGACCATGCCATGGACATAAAAGGAGTATGTTGTGCCAGCAACTGAGGACATGATGCACCCTTTTCCTACGGTCCACACAGAACAAGGATTCTCTTCTGCACGTGCCCTGGTGGCTAGAGCTGGAAGCCCCACTTTAAGGAGCCAGAGGGCATCTCTGTTCACATCCCAGAAGACATGCAGAGCTCCCCTCTGCTGGGACCCATTGGTGGGGGGATGGAGGCTGTGGAGTCCTCAGCGAGGCCCCAGTGCTGTGTTGTGCATCACCCCCATGTCTGACCTCTTCTATGCCCACCCAGAGCGCAGGACCCAGAAGCTTAGCAAGCACTTGGCTCAGGGGGTCCAGGGGCAGGTGGGTAGGTACCTCCAGCAATCCCATCCTCCCAGCAAAAGGGCTCCGGTCAGCTGGCAAACACCCAGTTGTACAGGAGCAGCCGCAACACTCAGGCCCTCCCAGGGCTGTCCTCAGCCCCACCTTCTTTCTGGCTGGGACCACAGGCCCACTCCTAAACCCCGGGACATCTGCCTTTCCAAAACCACCCCTCCACGCACAACACATGAACACACTCAATCCCACTCAACTGTACTTATAGATGGCTAAAAAAGTCCATTTTACATGTATTTTACTATCATATAAAGCCCTACCCCGCACCCCCAGATGAAGGGCAGATGTGGGAGGTGCCACTCTAGCCCTATATCCTGGCTGTGTGCCCCCACCCCCATGCTGCCCAAGTAGGAGCGTCCTCAACCAGCTTCAGTGCAGCCCCTGCCCATGACAAGCTGGCTGTAGTTGAGTCAGGAACCCATGACCCCAGCTCTCATCCCCATTGCCTCTCCCCTCCCAGGACCACCCATAATCCACTCAAGGTTTTCCACCAATTGTGCCCACTTCCCAAACCCAAGAAGTCATGCCTCTACCCAGCTAGCTCATGGTCCACACCAAGCAGAGCCTCCAGCGACGCTGCTTGTCCTGGTCCAGCCTGGGCTGCAGGCAGGAGTGGATGGAGGGACTCCCTCCTGACACTGCGCCCCTTTCCCATGGAGACAGCTAGCCAGGGAAGACGTGTCACAAGCCAGCAGAGCAGCCTACCTACCTGCATGTCCTCCTACAAGGGGACAGGCTGAGGCAGGAAGGCTGAGGACCATCAGCCACATCAGGTTGCTGGCGGCCACAAGTTACAGACCCAGTGCCCATGCACCCACTGAGCCAACCAGCCTCTCTGCACAGAGGGGTGGGGAGGACTGTTCACAATGTGGCCATCAGACGCTCCCTTCAAACACCCCCACCACCAAAAGTGGAAAAGACAAGACCTCCCAGTGATTTTTCCAGAAAGGTTCACTCTGGTCTTGCAGCAGCATATACAGAAGAGCCGAGGGGGATACCACCACAGGCCCGCCTGCTGAGGTACACCACAACCGGATCCCCCTCTTCTGAGGACCTCATGGCTGTCATGTGGATACTGTCCAAGGGTCCTTCCTTCTTTGCCCCAAGTTAACACCTAAAATGGAAACTGCTGTGGAGCTCACTGAGCTGGGGTGCCAGGTGGAGGCCGTACTAACAGCAGGTCAGACAGCGGCCCTTCCTAAGGAAACATGCGCAGATGGGGTACCTCCCTCCTCTCCGGGGGAGCCTGCTGAAGTCTGCGCTGAGGGTGGAGCAGGCAGCTCCAACAGGACGCCAGTCATCTGGGAAGGGGCGGGGGTGTCGGGTGCCCCAATTCCAAGGGAAGTCCAACCGTAAGCCACAATTGGTGGAGGTGAGCAGAGCTTACCGAGACAGCGCCCAGTGTGGCCCCACTACCACCTGTGGAAGGTTCTAGAGCACACCGACAGCAGACCCCACTGCAGCAGTCAGGAGGCAGTCTGTCAGATTTATTTATCCTACTCAACATAACCCCAGAACACAGGAGCAACTCTGTACACCTCTAGAAACTCACAGCTAGCTCCAAAACAATAGAAATTTTAAACTACAAAAGAGGAGTTGTATTCAGCAAATATAAAGAGGAACTTCAGGCTGTGTCGCACGCTTCTCCGACTATTTACAGTGCCCGGGCCCGGGTTCAGATCTCGCCAGCCTCCTTCTCCTCCGACCTCCGCGAAGCCGTCTTCCCGTTGGCGCTCTCAAGCCTCCCATCGGCGGCCCCCCGCTCGCTCCGCCCGCGCACCCAGGTCTCTTCCGTCGATGCCCGCTCTCTGGAGAACCTAAGAAATGGGAACCAGAGGCTCAGCAGCGGCTGTTGTCCCCCTTCTGACTGGCTCCTCAGGCGCTGAAAGCTTGGACCCTGGTCAAGGAAGGCTAAGCTAAGACCCCCCACACCTGGGGAGGCTCCCCGCCAGGCCAGAGGGCTGCCAGGCTGCCATCTGGTGCCCAACCCACAGCCACTAAAAGGTGACATTTGCAAAGATTTCGAATAACAGCTAGAATGTGAATGGAGCAAAGGAAAATACAACAGAAGTCTGCACCCAGAATGTGACCCATCACGTAAAAACATAAAAAAGGACTCCAATCAAGCATACCAGTGCTAACTGGTTACGAGTGGTGTTTTCTTCCTCACAAAAACCAAGTCTCAGGGGTTCTGTGTATTGAAGTGACAATGAGTGTGCAGCCCCTGCGTGCAGCAGGCCACCTGGTGGGGCTGTGCCCACGTGTGCCTGCCTCCATGACCTCTCCCCCGTCCCATCCCTGAATCCATCTGCAGCTCTCTGCCTGGGGCTCCCAGCGCCCCGGGCTCCCTTCACAACTCCTCAGGGCCCCGACACTCAGTCCCAGCAGCCCGGCCAACAGGCCCCATGACAGCCCCAGCAGACCCTGGGAACACAAAGAAGGGGCTCACTCCTGGTCGCAGCTACTGAAGGAGTCAGAGTAGTTACTTGTATTTCGCACTGCGGTCCCTGGAAGCCCAGCGGTGGCCCCGGCTGTGGCTCCGGGAACGACTGCGGTGGCGCCGGTGTCTGTCTCGGGACCGGGACCTCGAAGACTTCCGTCGCTCTCTCGAGGTAGATCTTGACCGCCGCCGGCGCCGGTCCCGGGAACGCGACCTGCAATGGACGCCAACCAGAGGCTCTGAAAGCCGAGGTGGCCTCACCCCAACGCTCCTGCCCTCAGCATGCTCAATGCTTTACTTGTATCTCCCCCTTTCCTCCCACACATTTACAACTTGGGTTCCCAGGCGTCCCATCAGTTAATCTTTGGTCCAAAAGAACTATGGACAGACCCTTCCCACTAATGCTTCCTGAAAACATCTTGCCAGGAAACTCCTGGCCACCAATAATAATTGTGAAGTTATAAGGGTTAAGTATTAAGCAAAATGCACGTGTAAAAGAGCATCTAACTGTGAACACTTTAATGGATCTGGACACCTACCTCCTGCGATCTCTGGTTCTTGATCCAGACCTAAAATGGAAAAAAAAAAAGTGAACAATTTCCCCCAAACAGCCCCATCGTTCACATATAAGGGGAGGTACCCCCAGTCCACGAGGTGAAGGAGGGTTGACCTCCCTGGGGAACCTGTCATCTTCTGGCTGCTCCTTCATGCTCCGGCCTGCGGCACCAAGGGCCAATGCTGATGGCATGAGGCCCACCCCAACCCCAGCTCCCAGCGGCTTGACGAAAGGACAAGACCGCATCCTGAGTTCAGCAAATGGCTCTGCAAAGAGTGGCCACTAGCCCAGCTATGCCGCCATCACCTAATAGGCCAGTGCTGGGCAGAACTCAAAGTCATCAAGACATCAAAGGTACAACAAAGCCTGAGTCCCAAGCACAGGCTCACCGCCAAGGGAGGGTCACACGAGCTCCTGGGGAAACAGTAGACAATCTGTAATCCAAGAAACGCAATTACAACAAGGTCTTGTTTTACAGCGTTCTACAGCAGAAATTTACAAGGCTGACATCAACATGTGCTGAGGAGGAAGTGACAAAAAGACACTCACACACCATGTGGCTGGAGGGTGATCTGATAAAGCCTCTTGGAAAGTAATTTCTGCAATTTCTACCAATATTTATAAATTTCTTTGTCCCAAAAACACTAAGGAATTTTACGAAACACTTAAAAATATACAATGATGATGTCTAGAGTACTCATTCAAAACGTTTTATGAGGGGCCGGCCGAGTGGCACGTCGGTTAAGAGTTGGCTTGGGACGCCAGCTCTGAGCAGCAGATCCCCGGTTCGGATCCCACATGAGAGCCAGTGACACTGCCCTCTACAGCTAAGATGGTGAACAACAGCTCAACCTGGAACTGGGCTGCTGTGAGTCGCCGGCAATGGCATAGGCTGCAGCCCCTGCTGCAGTGGGCGGCCATAAGCTACCGTGTGTGGCCGGCAGCCAGTATGAGCAGCCGGCACCCGGTGTGAGCTGCCAAGAGCCCCTGTGAGAGGCCGTCCAGAGGCTGGCGACTGATCTGCCTCACCCGGGAAGAGCGCAACGATGGTGCCAACTTGGGCCAGTGAAGCAACGTCCTCCACAACTAGACTGAAGAACAAAA